GAACGGAATGCAGTTCTACTTAAATTGATTAGGCAGAAATTTCATTTTGGCATAAATGCTGCAGATGGCAAGCGAAGATACGGAAAATACCCTTTTAATTAGGAGAGAAATTTTTTTTAAACGCTAAAACATCCGTCTTGAAGCGTTAACGGCTTATACTGGTTTAGAATACATTAGGAGTGCAGAAGGGATTGCTAAATACTTAAAAAGAGTTTGACATAATTTTTTTAAAGGGTGTAATCTTTCAGCTTACAGGTGACAAAACTCGAAACTGGGTTAAATTTGCTGCAAAGATGCAAGCCAGCGCTTATCCTATTCTTTGCACCTCTGATATTGTCACCGTTGCTGTTATACCAAGAAAAGGTGGGTTTGAGTTTTTTCGACTTGAAATTCCAACAAAAAAAAACTTTGATGTTGGCCCTTTAAGCGTATATTTTGAAGAGTCAAAGGTTTTGGAGTAATTTGAACTTGTTTCTTCAATTTAATTTCAAATTTGTGACAAAGGATCTTAACAGAGATTCTTCGTCTAAATAAAACTATAAAATGAATAATTGCATCTCTTGTCTAAATCAGCACATTTCTAACTTTATACTTTTACCCCAAACTTCGGGTTTTCTAAGAATTTGGTAGGATATCTAAGCATATAACATCAATGACATCGTCATCAATAGTTTAGTGATCATTGGCAATGATTTACCTTTTACTTACAAAAAAAATCCATCTATAAAATTCGAAGAAGTTTTTTTTGAAATTTGAATTATTCTTACTTTATTACTTTCAACTCCTAATTATTTACTTTTTAAGGAATGGCGTTGTGCATTTTGCATTGGTGTGATGGCAATCTACTGGATGACCGAAGTGTTGCCGCTGGCTGTCACGGCAATGCTTCCTGTAATACTTTTTCCTTTCACCGGTGTGATGACATGTACAGAAACCGCTCAACAGTTCATCAATGTGAGTTTTGATCAGAAAAAAGTTTGAATTTACTTACTGAACAAATTCTGTTTTTCAACATGCATTAAGGTACTGTACTTCATACATTCTTTGAGATTATTTTTTTTTATTATGGAGCAGAAACTAATTTATAAATGGCATGATTGCTATTCTAATATTAGTCATTACGAATCACATTTTAATAAAATTTGGTAAATGATTTGAAAATTGTAAAAGGGTAATCTGTAGATTTTTCTGGCAGGGGCATAAAATAGCTAACAGCAGAGGGTTTTACCGTCTACTAAACTGAAAATCCAGTTAACCCATTGTTTTCATACTCTTAGATTCTTCTTGGATATTCTGTATAGAAGATAACATTTAGAAGTAGGAAATCTTAAAGTATCTTTACACCATTCTTTGTAAATTTATATCATCGCTTTCTCCTAATAATTAAATAGTCTATAACGCTATATCAATTGAATTTTACCCAAATTCTTGTTTTCTACTTTTATAGTCCAAGTTTGAATGGAAATTAGAACTCTTCAAATCATACCGCAGACAATTCCACGAATTCCGAGAATAATCACAGCCGCTCGAGCGCAATTTCAATATGACTAGACTGTGCTAAGCATTCAAGGAATTTGAATTTCTCCGTAAATAGCTACTGTATAGTTTACCCATGGGTATGCGTAAAGTCCACATCGAGCAAGTATATTTTTTTTGGAAATATTGGATAAAAGGCTAATGAAGCGCTAATGGGAAAGAGGAGCAGCGGTCCTTTTGTTTAAAAAGTAGGGTGGGATCATAACTACATTTTCATTTTCAAACGTTCCCTTATCGCATCTGATGGCCTTAAGCAGAATTTGCATTTTACTCAACGTAGAATAATATGCGTATGGGTTAAGCTTCGAAACAGGAATTCAATACAAAGTGCACTGTCTGCACAAGTTTTTGGTAAAATGTTTCCCTTCTTAAACCAATATGTTGATTTTCAACACGTTTGGGATCAAAATATTACGATGGTCAATTATGCAATTAGTGTTCCAACCGACGGTGCAATGGTAATGTTGCTCGATCTGATCACCATTATACGAAGAGCTTATACTAGAAAGTCGTGATGAAGAAACTCAGGAATAAAAAAAGGAAGAATATTCTCATTCTCAATTCATGAGGATAAAATAGTTCCTAAACTCCTCTAGCTTAGAAATGGGATATCAAAGCATTTTGTAAATTTTGATTCCACCTTTAAAAGGGACAATACCAGTTTATTAAAGCTACAACAAAATATGGAAATTAAGAATTAGTCAATTCGCGAGTTCTATGATAGTGGAAATCACCTAGATTATCCAGTTGATCACTTTGTGCGCAAAATTTCAATCACTGATCTCAAGATGTTGTCGGATCACATTTCAAAATCCTCACAACTTGACGCGTGCTGATCACGAGGGTTTCTTGACGTCACAGAGACGACAAAGCGCCATCGTTAGCAAAATTTTTTGTGCAAATAATTCGTTGATGCGCGATCGCATAATAAAATAGAGAGCGAGAGAGGGGAGGGAATGGGTCTAATCAGATATTGAGCCTAATTATAAACATGCATGTAAATTAGCTGGGCAAGCAAATCACCTCCTGGAGGCATTTTTCTGAAACTTTTCTTCTCAGGACACAAATTTCCTGTTCATCGGCGGACTGATTATGGCAGCTGCTGTGGAAAAATGTGATTTACATCAACGGGTAGCGCTATCCGTGCTCACAATGGTTGGAGGCGAGCCAAAGTGGTGAGCGTAAATGTAAAATTGAATATAGTCGATATTTATTAAAAATAATCATTTTACGAGTAGAAAGTTCTACTGAAAAAGCACTTTTTAAAAATTAATAAGAGCAATAAGCAATATCAGATTCACTTAGTTAGAATTTTCTGAATCCCTGTTACCCGTCACGAAAAGAATTCTGTTATTTAAAGCCATTTTTCAGGATCATGCTTGGCTTCATGATGGTCACAGCATTACTGAGGTAAAAATTGGCATGATTATTTCAATTTCAATTCTATTTCATGCTACTGTGAAAAATTATCCAAATAAACAACATTTTGAAGAATTTAAAAATAAATAAGAAGCAGATTCGAAAATCTTATTTGGAAAATGATCTGAAACTTCT